ATACTTTTATTTTTCAGTCCTGTTTAAAAATGTAGAGGAGTAGAACGTACAAATACCTGCTCTCAGATGTTAGCCAGGCTGGCGCCACCTAGTGCCTCCGTTCAATTTCATTTCTCTCCAGCGACTAGGTCAGGAATCAAAATACACAAGACGGTCTGCAAGAACCCCAGAAGTGCAAGTTCGGGCACCAGTCAATCAGCGAAGAGTGATATATTCAGTGTTGTCAACGATTCCCAAGATCAAGGATTTAAAGCTGAAATAAAGAAAATGTTTGGTGAATTTCATCAAGGGGAAAGACGCTATTGCCCTTCTTCCTACAGGATTTGGGAAAAGCTTAATATACCATTTAGCCCTGTTAGCAGCGCATTACATTACATCACGACCAAACAGCAGCGATTGGTTAAATGATAAAAAGTACCCACCTACCGTCAAGAGAATGAAATCTAAGGCTGCGTGGTCAGACGGTTTGTACGGAGTGAAACAAAGTAAAACTGACTGAATCAGGCTACTCAGATATATTGAAGTAAAAATAAAAAGTATCCACTGTAAAATTTATGTAAAGGTGCACTATGTCACTTTTTGATTGGGGGTCTGTCACCGGCTTGTTTCGATATGTCATTCCTCTGCCTGGAGCAATGACATTAAACAGCTCTACTTTACATTTGTTCAATTACAGGTGGTTTTATATCTTAAAAATACCTAAAAAAACACACATTCTGACTGTGAGCGGGGTCGCCCCTCCACAGATCTGACCTGTAACTTGGTCTGGTTTCTTCTCCATGAAAAGAGAAAGGTTTAATATCATACTGTGAAACATTACAGGCAAAGAAAGTCTGCAAGAAGTTACACGTTGCACCTTTAAGTAAATTACAGACAGTGTTGGGAAGGTGACTTTTAAAATGTATTCCCCTACAGATTACAGATTACATACCCCAAAATGTAGTTTGTAACGTAATCCATTAAATTACTTAAAGTGAGCCAGGCCTGGGGTGGGTGCTCGCCAGCGAGCGCCTGGTGGCCGAGCCTCCCCCCACGGGGCTCGGCCGGGCTCAGCCCGAAGGAGCGACGTGGGGCCGTCCTCACGTGGCCCACCACCCGCAGGAGGATCCATATGGGGCCGGTGCAGAGAGATCTGGGCAGCAGTCGACGGCGGGGGCCTCGGCGACCGGATCTCCGGACATGGAGACTAGCTCTGGGGACATGGAATGTCACCTCGCTGGGGGGGAAGGAGCCTGAGCTTGTGCGGGAGGTTGAGCGTTACCGACTAGATATAGTCGGCCTCACCTCCACGCACAGTTTGGGCTCTGGAACCCAACTCCTTGAGAGGGCTGGACTCTCCATTTCTCTGGCGTTGGCCGCGGGGAGCGGCGGCGGGCTGGTGTGGGCCTGCTCATTGCCCCACAGCTCAGCCGCTGTGTGTTGGAGTTCACCCCGGTGAACGAGAGGGTCGCGTCCCTGCGCCTTCGGGTCGGGACAGGTCTCTCACTGTGGTGTCGGCCTACGGGCCGAACAGCAGTGCTGAGTACCCGCCTTCTTGGAGTCCTTGGGAGGGGTACTAGACAGTGCACCGACCGGGGACTCCGTTGTTCTCCTGGGGGACTTCAACGCCCACGTGGGCAACGACAGTGACACTTGGAGAGGGGTGATTGGGAGGAAAACACACTCGGGTTCAGATCGGGGGATCTGAACCCGAGTGGTGTTTTGTTATTGGACTTCTGTGCTAGTCACAGTTTGTCCATAACGAACACCATGTTCGAGCACAAGGGTGTCCATAAGTGCACGTGGCACCAGGACACCCTAGGCCGGAGGTCGATGATCGACTTTGTCGTCGTGTCATCTGATCTCCGGCCGCGTGTCTTGGACACTCGGGTGAAGAGAGGGGCTGAGCTGTCAACTGATCACCACCTGGTCGTGAGTTGGGTTCGCTGGCGGAGGAGGAAGCCGGAAAGACCTGGCAGGCCCAAGCGTGTAGTGAGGGTCTGTTGGGAACGTCTGGCGGAGCCCTCTGTCAGAGGGACCTTCAACTCGCACCTCCGGAGGACTTCTCCCGGATTCCGGGGGAGGCTGGAGATATGGAGTCCGAGTGGGCTTCATTCTCGGCCTCTATGTCAATGCAGCTGCTCGGAGCTGTGGGCGTAAGGTCTGTGGTGCCTGTCGCGGCGGCAACCCCAGAACCCGGTGGTGGACACCGGAAGTAAGGGATGCTGTCAAGCTGAAGAAGGAGTCCTATCGGGCCTTGCTGGCTCGGGGGGACTCCTGAGGCAGCTGATGGTACCGGCGGGCCAAGCGTGCTGCAGCCCGTGTGGTCGCGGAGGCAAAAACTCGGAGCTGGGAGGAGTTCGGGGAGGCCATGGAGAAGGACTATCGGACGGCCTCAAAGAGATTCTGGCAAACCGTCCGGCGCCTCAGGAGGGAAAGCAGTTCTTCACCAACACTGTTTACAGTGCGGGGGGAGAGCTGTTGACCTCGACTGGGGACGTTGTCCGGCGGTGGAAGGAATACTTTGAGGATCTCCTCAATCCCACCGTCACGTCCTCCGAGGAGGAGGCCGAGGCTGGGGACTCAGAGGCGGACTCATCCATCACCCTGGCCGAAGTCACTGAGGTGGTTGGCAAGCTCCTTGGTGGCAAGCTCCGGGGTTGGATGAGATCCGTCCTGAGTACCTGAAGTCTCTGGATGTTGTGGGGCTGTCTTGGCTGACACGCCTCTTCAACATCGCGTGGCGGTCGGGACAGTACCTCTGGACTGGCAAACCGGGTGGTGGTCCCTCTGTATAAGAAGGGGGACCGGAGGGTGTGTTCCAACTATAGGGGGATCACACTTCTCAGCCTTCCCGGTAAGGTCTATGCCAGGGTACTGGAGAGGAGAATCCGGCCGATAGTCGAACCTCGGATTCAGGAGGAGCAGTGTGGTTTCGTCCTGACCGTGGAACACTGGACCAGCTCTACACTCTCCATCGGGTGCTCGAGGTTCATGGGAGTTTGCCCAACCAGTCCACATGTGTTTTGTGGATCTGGAGAAGGCATTCGACCGTGTCCCTCGTGTGGTGTCCTGTGGGGGGTGCTCTGGGAGTATGGAGTCCGGGCCCTGTGCTAAGGGCTGTCCGGTCCCTGTATGACCGGAGCAGGAGCTGTGTTCGCATTGCCGCAGTAAGTCAGACCTGTTCCCGGTGCATGTTGGACTCCGCCAGGGCTGCCCTTGTCACCGGTTCTGTTCATTGTATTTATGGACAGAATTTCTAGGCGCAGTCAGGGGCCGGAGGGGGTCCGGTTTGGGGACCACAGGATTTCATCTCTGCTGTTTGCGGACGATGTTGTCCTGTTGGCTTCATCGAACCAGGACCTACAATGTGCACTGGGGCGGTTTGCAGCCGAGTGTGAAGCGGCTGGGATGAAGATCAGCTCTTCCAAGTCCGAGGCCATGGTTCTCGACCGGAAAAAGGTGGCTTGCCCTCTCCGGGTGGGTGGGGAGTCTTTGCCTCAAGTGGAGGAGTTCAAGTATCTCGGGGTCTTGTTCACGAGTGAGGGAAGGACGGAACGTGAGATTGACAGGCGGATCGGTGCAGCTTCGGCAGTGATGCGGTCGCTGTATCGGACCGTTGTGGTGAAGAGGGAGCTGAGTCGAAAGGCGAAGCTCTCGATTTACCGGTCAGTCTTCGTTCCTACTCTCACCTATGGTCATGAGCTCTGGTAGTGACCGAAAGGACGAGATCGCGGATACAAGCGCTCGAAATGAGTTTCCTCCGCAGGGTGGCTGGGCGCTCCCTTAGAGATAGGGTGAGGAGCTCAGTCACACGGGAGGAGCTCGGAGTAGAGCCGCTGCTCCTCCACGTCGAGAGGAGCCAGTTGAGGTGGCTCGGGCATCTGTTCCGGATGCCTCCTGGGCGCCTCCCTCGGGAGGTTTCCGGGCATGTCCCGCCGGGAGGAGGCCCGGGGAAGACCCAGGACACGCTGGAGGGACTATGTCTCTCGGCTGGCCTGGAACGCCTCGGGGTCCCCCCGAGAGCTGAGGACGTGTTCTGGGTGAAGGAAGTCTGGGAGTCCCTGCTTAGGCTGCTCCCCCCGCGACCCGGCCCCGGATAAGCGGACGAAAATGGATGGATGGATGGATGGAGTAACGTAATCTGAATACTTTGGATTACTTGATATTGTAATGTTTTTTAAAACTACATGAATGTAACAACCACATCCTGCAAATTCATGTTTGTTCAGTCTTTATTTGGCCAGATTAAAAATACTATTGATAGAGAAATGATTTTTATATGAGATCACAATTATGTCCACACTACTCTTAGTGTCACCTGGTTTACCTGGTTTATATTAGTTCTGGTTTAGTCCTGGTTTTAGTCCTGGTTTAGTCCTGGTTTTACCTGGTTTTAGTCCTTTTAGTCCTGGTTTTCTGGTTTTAGTTTTTGGTTTTAGTTCTGGTTTAGTCCTGGTTTTAGTTCTGGTTTAGTCCTGCTTTAGTCCTGGATTTAGTCCTAGTTTAATCCTGCTTTAGTCCTGGTTTAGTCCTGGTTTTAATTCTGGTTTTAGTCCTGCTTTAGCCCAAATGTGAAAACAGGAAAATATTTAAATATTTATTTCAGCAAAGTAACTGTAATCCAATTACCACTCATGGAAACAGTAACTCCCCAACACTCATAACAGATACCTAAAAATGATACTTTACTACTTTTACTTACTTACTTACTACATTCCACCACTGTTGGACTCATACAAATTTTGGTCGAAAAAGACACCACTTCTTAACCCAATATTAAAACAATGGTCACACGTTTTTTTTTTCTTCTTATTAAATATAGATCAAAGTAAAGCCGGATGCCCTGGTAGTCCGCAGTTAACATTTGGTTTTAATGCAGGTTCTTTAAGTCAATTAAAGCCCTGGTTAAGCACCGGTCTAACCTCAAGTTTAGCCATTTAATCTTATTATAGATAAAAGAGAGTATCGAGCGAAGTAATAGCTTGGACAAGGCGATCAACACGACAGCTCTCCACTGCGCATTAACTTCAGAGAGAGGCCAGACAGGTCCCGCCCACCGCTGGCTGCAACTGCGAAGAGCAAAGTGTCAAAGAGCAACTGACCACACCACACTTCATTACAGGACACGGGACCGTAACGTAACTTAAGCGCGATGCGGGTACGTCAACTCGCCATGCACTCCGAAGCGTCACCACGAACTTTTTAACACTTTTATCTCGCGCGTAAAAGTTTGGGAATGCACTTGTCTGAGCCGCGACAGCAAGCGGTTTCTTACCAAAGCGGAGAAAATGCAAACAGAAATCGTGGATCGCGTGTGAGCGGGTCTTCTTCGCTGTTTCCCGGGGGCTTTGGATCGGATCGGAGCGCGGGCAGGAAAGTGGTGCGTCACGGCGGGTCGGTGATGGAGCACCGCGCGAGTTTGTGCGGGCGCCCCGAGAGTTTGGAGGACACATGCGGGCAGGAGGAGGAAGACGAGCCGCAAGTTCACCTCGAGGCCGGGGATTTGTGGAGGCAGTTTCACAAGTGTGGGACAGAAATGGTTATCACAAAATCTGGAAGGTAGATTGGCATTGTGTTTTTAAAATGGCTAATGTCACCGCTCATTATAATATAACGTTGATATAAAAATGTTAACTTTTTTTGTACGATTGTAAATATAAAAATACTCACATTTAATCTGGAAAATTCATCTCTAGTAGTTGTAGTAATGGTACAACTGAGAGGCCTAATGGCTCACGTTGTGGTTCACGTTGTGGCTCACGTTGTGGCTCTTTCAAACACAGCGTCAACAGAAGTGGTGAGTCATGTGCATTATAACCGGTCTAAACAATGTATAACAGACTTGAAAAAGCTACATTATTTTAAATACAAAGTCCAAACCCTTGAAGTCTAAATGTACTTAACGTTCAAATTTGCGTACTATTTTAAGACATGATAACGTACGATAAGAAAACCTTTATTCCTCAATTCCAGTGTTTGAAGGTAAAGTACAAGAGAAGCACAAATGACTAGGTAAATAATAACTAATAAGAACTAAGACAAATAACCTTATCCCTAAAGCTTTACTTAAATCTAACCATTTAACCCAGACATGTCCAAACAATGGCACGTGGGCCAAATGTGGCATTCAGACAAATTTTTCTTGCTTCCAGGTGAATTGGCCCAAATTATCTTACATCAATTAAAAATTAACGTTTTACTACAAGTTTACCTTGATAAAGCTAATATTTAATATTTAGTTTGTGGTTTTAAGGATCTTAGCATGAATAAAGACTGACGGCTCATTCTAACGTGTTAAACATGCACATATTTCAATTATTCACTGTACTGAGCACCAGTCTATGGCCGTCGATCAGCTTCATCTGGGTTTAGATATGTGGCCCTTGATCAAAAAAGTCGGGACACCCCTGATTTTACCTGAATAAATATGTTGAGTATGTGTTAAGATAGACACATATTAACATCTTTAATCAATATTTTTCTTATCTCAAATCAATTTCAAATTTTGTCTCTTTGTTTCAGCAAGCTTAGCCAACTGTGTGAACAATGTCGAGCCATATTATCTGTGGTGGAAAGTAAAAAAGCAAAAGTTGTATAGTGCTGTACTTAATATGTATACATTTTAGGTGTCAGTATCTGTACTTTACTTAAGTACATGTTAAAATACATCCTTTTTACTTTAATACATTTGAGAGCAGGTATCTTTACTTTCTACTTCACTACATTTTTGAACAAGACTGAAAGTAAAAGCATGTATTTTATGATAGTTTGAGACCTGCTGAAAAGGATGAGGGGTTTATTTTTAACACATTTGTAGAGAAAACAAAAATATACCAAGAAAAAAAACAGCTAGGAAAAAAAAAATCAGTTTCATTTGCACAGATCTTGATTAAAACCACTATTTAACTTTATTATACCTGAAAATCTGCACAAATATTTGTACATATTACTCTTGAAGTATATTTTAAAACTTTTACTTAAGTATGTTTTTTTCATGTGATGCTTTTACTTTTTACTTGAGTGTTTTTCTGTAGCTTTAAAGGTGCATTGTGTAACTTTTCGGGCGGAGGGTCTGTCAAATGATTGTCTCCATGGAGATGTTATTACGTTGCCTGGAATGTTCCATGGTATGACATTAAACACATCTATCTATCATTTATTCATTACGGGAGGTTGTATTGCTCAAAAATACAATAATTCTCTCAGTGAATAGGGTTGCTTCTCCACAGATCTGACCTGTAACGTAGCCTGTAGTTGTCTCCCTTCAGATAGACAGGTTTAATCTCTGCTGCGGAACATTCTAGACAAAGCAGTAACATCTCCATGGTAACAAACTTGAGCGTTTCTTCCACCATTGCATATTATACACCAATTCTTCATAGTTGCCATTATTGTATGAACTTGTTTTCCCAGGCGCATGTTCCCACCGCTCAGACTGCGATGCTCGGGTCTGGAGCCTAAGTCCAAATACATGGTTCTGTTGGACATAGTGGCAGCAGACGAGAGCCGCTACAAGTTCCACCAGGGCCGCTGGACTGTGGCGGGGCAGGCTGACCCAGAGCTGCCCAAACGCATGTACATCCACCCGGACAGCCCCTCCACGGGACAGCAGTGGATGAACAAGGTCATCAACTTCCACAAAGTCAAACTCACCAACAACATCTCCGACAAGCACGGATTTGTGAGTACATTTTGTTCCGGGAATTTAATTGTCTTAGCAGGCCCGTCGACAGGAATTTGGGGGTCCGGGGCAAGCAGTCTCACATGGGCCTCCTTTATTATAACTGAAGAGGAAGAGGGTCCGATTCTGCGCCCCTAAAACCCCAAGACAACACATCCCTTTCCCCCCCTCTGTCTACTTCCCTGTGTCTTAGAACTGTATTCATTTTGAATTGAGTAATCAGGCTGTGTAATTGTAATCAAACCTGTCATTTGCTTTTAGAGAGGAAATAACAAATATAATATGATCAGTTAAAAAAAAAAAAATCATAATCAAATCAAGTATCATCATTTAAAAGGCCCATATCACACTATTTTCTGATCTTTGTTGTGATATGGTTCAGGTCCGTTGACAGAAATTTGGCGACCCGGGGCAAGAAGTCTCACATGACCCCCTAATATAACTGAATAGGAAGGGGGTCCATTTCTGGGCCCCTAAACCCTGAAGCCTTGCCCCCCTCTGTCTACTGTCCTGTGTCTTAGAATTGTGATCATTTTGAATTGAGTCATCAGGCTGTGTAATTGTAATCAAACCTGTGATTTGCTTTTAGAGGGGAAATAACAAATATAATATGATTAGTTCAAAAAGAAAAACATTTTTTAAAATTGGTTTAAGTATCATTATGTAAAAGGCGCATATTACACTTGTTAGGAAACAGTTCAGGCCCGTCAACTGAAATTTGGGGACCTGGGCCAAGAAGCCTCACATGACCCCCTCTAATATAAATGAATAGGACGGGGGTCCAATTCTGGGCCCCTGAATCCTGGAGCCCGGGACAACAGACCCATTTGCCCCCATCTGTCTACTGTCCCGTGTCTTAGAACTGTAATCATTTTTAACTGAGTAATCAGGCTGCGTAATTGTAATCAAACCTGTCATTTGCTTTTAGAGGGGAAATAACAGTTATAATATGATCAGTTCAAAAAGAAAAACTTTTTTTTTTTTTTTACACTATTTTCTGATCTTTGTTATGATATGGTTCAGGCCCATCAACTGAAATTGGGGCGCCCGGGGAAAGAACTCTCACATGGACCTCTCTAATATAAATGAAGAGGGTCCAATTCTGGGCCCCTGAACCCTGGAGCCCGGGACAACAGATCCCTTTGCCCCATTCCCTGTCTACTGCCCTGTGTATCATTTTTATCTGAGTAATCAGGCTGGGTAATTGTAATCAAACCTGTCATTGGCTTTTAGAGAAAAAAATTGGGGGCCTGGGGCAAGGTGTCTCACATGTGCCTCCTCTAATATAAATGAAGAAGAAGAGGGTCGAATTCTGGGCCCCTGAACCCTGGAGTCCGGGACAACAGACCCCTTTGCCCCCCTCTGTCTACTGTCCCGTGTCTTAGAATTGTAATCATTTTTAATGAGTCATCAGGCTGTGTAATTGTAAACAAATCTGTCTTCTGCGTTTAGAGGGGAAATAACAAATACAGTGATAAGATCATTTGGTTTAACTGCACTGCACTGCATAACATTTCTAGTGGAGGGTCTGCCACCTGCTTGTCTCCATGACAATATTATTGCTTTGTCTAGAATGTTCCACAGTATACATTAAGACTCCGTTTACACTAAAATGAATCCGTGTGTCACCGTATCAGCATATTGGAAACGATCTGCATACAGACACGTCGTTTCCGTGTCCACAGTCCATGCCTTCCCTGTCCACACAGTACTGCAAAAAAACACCTGAAAGGCTAGTCACGTGATAGGCTGGTGTCAAGTCATCCCAACGTCACGGGAGTGGTAAAAACAATGAATTCTGAAGTTGCAGCAGCTGATTTTGAGCTGAGGGAGATGACAAGTGTAAAAACTGTCTTTTTAACACTTGCCATCCAGTGTAACACTGGATTTTAAGACGAGCATGGCGGCTCAGAGTGAGGACTGACTCGTTTCTGTGTCCACAAGCCTTCCCTATCCACACAGCTTTGAGCATATTTGTTTACATTTTACAGAAACAAAACTTATAACCGCATGGTTAATTTGCATAAACGGTGCACTTAAAACAGCTCGCTATTGTGCGTTCAGCTTCTGTCGGACTAAAGGACACAACTCAGTGGATTATATGTGTTCTTTCTGTGACACGGAGTGTTCTGTTGATGGTGAGTTTGTTCTGTTCTTCTATGGCGCTGGAGATAGTTCATGTTAAAGTTTTCAGAGATTATACGGTCTATGTGTACGATCATATGCATAGACCGTTTATATGAATGGACATATATTCTAGCTTCTTAGAGTTTTGGTGCTGAATTAGCTACGTTGCGGCGCATAGACCTACATCAGCGTATCAGCGTTTTCAGGCGTCCACATGGTGCAGGATCAGATCCGTATTCAGATGAATTCGTAGGAGCTGGAGGCACCAGATCATTCCATCTCTGGAGCCATTTTCAATTGGATTAGTGTGAACGAACATTGCATCCACAACAAAAACGACTTGAATACGTACTAGTGTTGACGGGGCCTAAATCCTGCTATCATGAGGGAGACAAGCAGTTTACAGCACTACGCTACATTACAATTCAGATCTGTGGAGAGTCACCCTATTCACATAAGGATTTATTGTATTTTAGAACAATAGAAACACCCATAATGAATAAATGCTAGATGTACAGTATATGTTTAATGTCATACCATGGAACATTCCCGGCAAAGCAATAACATCTCAAAGGTGTTAAGTAGGTAGCGGACTCGCCACCAGAAAAATTGCATAGTGCACCATTAAATATTTTTGTGTGGGTTGTTAGTGTGGTTTAGTATATTTTAAAGCTGAACAATTCTTTTAAAAATAGCATTTGTTTAAAGCAGCATTGCAATCATGATCAAATTTGATGTTTCTATTTTAAAGAGCTCATATTCTGAAAAATGTATATTATCACATTGTTCCCTCAACAAAAACATACCTGAAGCTCTATTTTAACTTAATTTACACCTTTTTGATGGAATTTGTGCAATAAGCAGTTTGAATTTTCCCAAGATTGTTGCGTCACAGGTATAACTCCTATGCAGTTTTTAAGTCCATACTATTAAGTCATTGCCTGACTGTTGTGCCGTCAAATCACTTTCTTTACAACTGCATTAAACATGAACTACTGGGGTAATGGGTTGTATGCATTTTCTCTTTTAAGTTTATGGTCTGTTAGTTACTGAAGTTAACATCATGTCTTACTATACTGTACAATTAAGTTATTTGTTCTTTAATGGTAAGATGTGATTTCACTTTCCTGTTCCAAAGCCAAACAAATCTCACAAAATACATGCAGCTTATGTTATGTTTTCTTCTCACAGACCATACTGAATTCCATGCACAAGTACCAGCCCAGGTTCCACATCGTGAAGGCCAATGACGTCCTGAAGCTCCCCTACAGCACCTTCAGGACCTACGTGTTCTCTGAGACTCAGTTCATCGCAGTCACCGCCTACCAGAACGATAAGGTACCAAACCAAATTATGCACATTCTATATATATTTACACATTTGTTAGAATCCTAAGAGACTATGATTTTGAGAATGATTAGGGTTGTAAAAAGTATTGCAAGCGCCAGTGGCAAAAAACGATGTGTCCTTAGGTAAGACATTTCTAGCCTGATTCATCAGTCGGTTTCACTTCATGGAAACCGTCTGATCTCGCAGCATTAGGATTTGTATGGGCGATGGTAGACTGATACTTTTTGTATTTAACCAATCACAGCTATTTGGTTGTGACGTATGTAATGCGCCAAATCCCGCAGGAGCCCCGTCTTTACTGTTGCTAAAATTCACCAAACATTCTCTTTGTTCCGGCTTTAAATCCTCGATCTCTGGAATCATTGCCAACACAGAATGTCTGACTTCGTGTATATCCATCTCCACCGCTTTGTTTACTGTTGTGCTGTTCCACATAAGGGACACAGACAGATGCTTGAATTTGTCTTCATGGCTTCACAGCTCTTTGCTGATTGGCTGGTGCGCGGTCTACAACTTCCGGGGTGTTTGCAAACAATCTAGTGTATTCCCCTTCGTGACCGAGTCACTGAAGAGAAATGAAATTGAGCAGAGGTACTAGGTGGCGCCAGGCTGGCTAAGACACTTCACTCACATGGTGTAGAAAGAAAGTGGTGTGTGTGTGTGTGTGTGTGAGTGATGGTGGTGGTCGGAGGGGCCGATGGCGCAGGTTGATAGCCTCGTTTCTGTCAGTCTGCTCCAGTGCAGCTGTGGGTACTGTAGTATCTGACACCACAAAGTGTGGAATGAATGGATAATGAACTCTATAGCACTTTGGGTGTCTTAGAAGGCACCAATTATTAATTAATTAATTAGCATAAAAATCAAGTTTGAAATGTGTTTTGATAGGTTACTAGTGCACACTAATAACTGTACAATATATATGTCTTGTGTCCCCAGATTACACAGCTGAAAATAGACAATAATCCATTTGCAAAGGGATTCCGAGACACGGGCAACGGCAGACGAGAGAAGAGGTGAGACACGTGTTCTGTAGATTTAGCAAGTTAAATGTATTCAGTAATTAATAGCTAAACAATCAGTTACCTTTCATTTTTTCATATGCTGCAAGTTATGAAGTTTTAAAATGGTGAATTGCCTTATCCCAAAGATATCTGTGGGATGAATAAATCATTTCAAAATAGTCAAAATTTTTGACATTTTTAAATACAGCATAGTAGTTTGGTTTAATGCAGTATACTTTTTAACTAAAACTTCTCAAATCCATAAATATATTTTTTGTATGTTGCACGTAAAGCTGCACTATGTAACTTTGCTGGTGGAGAGTCTACTGCCTGCTTGTCTCCATAAAGATGTTATTGCTTTGCCTGTAATGTTCCACAGTACAGGATTAAACTTATTGATCTATATGAAGACAAGCAGGCCAAGTTACTGGTCTGATCTGTGGAAAGGCGATGTGCTCATAGTACAATGTTTTTCAAGCGTTATTGTGAGCAGTAAAAAATTGTTAACGTCTGCTTGTGTAATGCTATACTGTGGAACATTCCAGACGTAACGGTAACAACTCCACGAAGACAGAAAATGTACACAGTTCACCTTTAAGACTTCATGTAGTATTTTTATTTTCTCTCCCCTTGTTGCCATGGCACTCAAAGCAGTTGATGTTGTGAGCTTTTCCATAAATCAGTTTGTGAGAAGTGAGTGGATAGTTTTCCCTTCTTGTGTTTAACAGGAAACTGCCACATGCCTCAGAGCAGTGCAAAGAGCTGAGGCCGAGTGACAGCCAGGATCCAAGGACCCAACTGCACTCCGACCACTCCAAGTCATCAGGTACAAAAGCCTGGCTGCACTTTGTCACCTAGCAACAACATAGCACGTTTTTACTACAACACTGTGTTTTTCGATTTATCAGCTGCTTTTTTCTATGGAGATTAGGGAGGTCCGTCAAAGCATGGTAAAAAATAAAGTTTCAGATAACTTCGATAAAAACCCTGCATTAGGTTTTAGGATCCAAAATTTAGGAAGAAATTTTGAAGAAAAAGGAGATGTTTTAAAGGTTGCTCAAGCTGCATGAAGTTTCCTGGAAATTGCTCCTGCAAACAATTTGGTATTCTTTAATAAGCTGTCACAGTATGAAAATTCAGTTGTCAAGAAAGCACCTTAACAGCTTTCAGCCAACATCTTTGTTAGTTGAGTGAAGAAATGGTTGGCCTAGCATTATTTATTTATGGACTTTATGGACTTCTAAGCAACTTTTATAGACTTTCCAATTATTTTTTTATGCAGTTTCAGTTTGTGTTTGCAGGATAAAATGACAAATCATTCGAATCAGCATTCTTATTTATTTGGTTTGCTATGTTATAGTATAGTACCCAGGCTGGCGCCACCTAGTGCCTCCGCTCAATTTAATTTCTCTCCAGCGACTAGGTCAGAAATTAGAATACACTAGACGGATTGCAATAACCCCAGAAGTTGTAGATCATGCACCAGCCAATCAGCGTAGAGCTGTGAAGCCATGACGTCAAACCCAAGCGCCTGTCAGCCCTTTTGTGGTGCAGCACAACAGTAAACAAAGCGGTCGAGATGGATGTAGACGAAGCCAGACATTCTGTGTTGGCTGTGATTCAGGAGATTGAGGATTTAAAGCTGGAACAAAGAGAATGTTTGGTGAATTTTATCAAGGGGAAAAACGTTATTGCCCTTCTTTCTATGGGATTTGACTCATTACATACGTCACGACCAAATAGCAGCGACTGGTTAAATAAAAAAGTACCCGCCTCCCGTAGAGTGAATGAATCCTAATGCTGCAAGGTCAGATGGGTTCCACAAAGTGAAACCGGCTGATGAATGAGGTTAATAGTATAGGCCATGTCTTGAGAAACCTCTAAATATTAATTAATGTACATAAAATTTGGACCCAAACATATGGAACCAAATGCAGGGTTCTAATCTAGAGAATCTAAAAAAAAAATTTGGACCACCCTAATGGAGATGCCATCTCTCTGCCTGGAATATTCCAAAGTGTGACATTAAACAGCTCTACCTTAACATTTATCCTATTACAGGCAGTTTTATAGCTCAAAAATACCTAGAAAAACATGCATTCCTACTGTGAGCGGGGTTGCCTCTGTTGTTTATGCTATAATTATCTGAATAACTCTTAATACGTTACATTAACATATTAACGCCTCTTCAGTCTGTGGTTCTCTATTCTAGTCTAGTCTCAGATTTTATAAAATTTCCCTAAAAAGTGCAACTTATAGTCCAGTGCGACTTTTATGTTTTTTTCTTCTTCATTGCACATTTTTTGGCTGGTGCGACTTATCTATGTCATCAACACTAAAAAAGGCATCCAAAATGCAAAGTATACTTAGTCAAACCTGTCATATGCACCTTAACACCCACGGGAATAGTAGCGATTCAACTTTTTCAGATTTAACAGGACACTGATATAAAGATTTAGGTTTTAAGTATCTGTCAACACTTGATATCAACCAATGCCGATGCAGAGACTGAAAATAGCATTAAAACATAATTAAGATATAACATAACAGATCCAAATGTGTTCCGTATCCTCCGAGTAACTACAGAACAGCTGTTTGAATACAAGTTATATTATTTTGAGATGTTCTCGGCCAGCAGCCAGTAAATATTCCTATTACAACAAGTTATAATCTAGACATCCAAAAACCCATCCAGCAAATGATTCTGGATCGTCACCAGTCATATCAGTATCAGTGCGTATCTCCAACCTGGCTGTCATTACACAACAGCCAGTCCAAGTGTCCCATATTATATTAAGCCATTAGATCAGTATCATGTTACTTAAGAGTGTCTCAGCGTTTAGTGGTTGTAGGGATGTAATGGTATCAAAATCCCTCGATATGACATTTTCACGATAGGCGATATTAGGGGATGTCCATCAAAGCATGGTCAAAAATAAAGTTTCCGATAACCTCAATTAGAACCCTGCATTGGGTTTTAGCATCTAAAAGATGATTTAGGAAGAAATTTGGAAGAAAAAGGAGATGTTTTAGAGGTTGCTCAAGCTGCATGGTTTCTACATGAAGTTTGTGCATGAAGTTTTGAAGCTCCTGCAAATGATTTGGTTTTCCTTAAGAAGCTGTCACAGTCTGAAAATTCAGTCATGAAGAAAACAGCCTGAACAGCTTTCAGTCGATATCTTTGGTTCTTCAGTGAAGAAATGGTCGGCCTGGCATTCTTCAACTCCTGTGTGATAGAAGAACAGATGAAGCTGATGGTTCACAATATTATGGAAAAGGAAGGTTCAGAGGTTCCACCAAAGCGACGTGATTCTCTTAATCAAGCAGATTATGAAGGGAAGCAGATCAGGGATTTTGTCTCCACCAGCACGATGTGTTTCTTCAAAGCTCTTGATCTGACAAAAACATTTTGAACAGTTCCCCAGCAGACTGGACTGATAATGCAGACTTTCAGAAGGAGCTAAAATTGAGTATTCCAGGAAAGTTGTCAGTGATGTTGCAGAAAGGGGGTGAAGCTTATTCAACATTTTAACTGTAGTCGAACAAAGAATGAAGATCAGAAACAGGATCTACTGCAGGAGTCAAAGACACAGACACATCTTCTGTGACGCCAACAAAGCCACAGTGGAGCTGGACTAAGTAACTTTTATGGACTTTCTAAGTCATTTTTATGCAAGTTTCAGTTTGTGTTTGCATAATAAAACGCCAAATTATTCAAATACGCCTTATTTATTTCAGAAAAGCCTTTGGTGCTGTTATAATATGAACAATTAAGATTTAAAAGTGCATAATAACAGTTATTTGTTCATGTAGTCTGCACTGGCAACATCAAGGATCATGGTCTATGTAGTTCAATCTGTTTTTCTGCTGCATCATGGTGAGGCAATTTGTATATTCATACACAAAGTCATTCAAAGTTATAAGGCACTTTTAAACAATTAGAAAGATTTTTAAATACACCATAACTACGCATAAAGCTAAGAAAAAAAAAAAAAAAAGTCTCTTGGCTCTTTTGTTTTCACTAGTTTTTACTTTATGCTTCACTTAAAATGAACATTATTTCATTCATTTAGTACTGTTGTGTATTTGATTCCTTCTAATTACAGATGGCCATGAAAGTGACAGTGACAACAACACGGAGGAAAACCGCATGCACCAAACGCAACCAGAGTGGAAGGACTTCACCGTACGGCCGTCTTCACATTGTCCGCAGAAACAAAACATCTCAAGTGATTCTGAAAGAGGTGGACTTCAGCGTTGCCTGTTCCTAGCACCAGACCCTCACAGACACACCCAGGACCAGGGGGGCTGTGGGCCTCAGTCGGGGGGCCCGTGGGGGGGGTGTCCGGCTGTAGATATGGCCTGCCCTCTGAGGACACTAGGAGGCTACCCCGTTCCCATCAGCTTACAGCAGCATATGTTTGTACAGGTAAAGAAGGTCACAAACTCACACAGCTAAAGCCTTCATATCCAAATCCAAATCCACTTTATTTATGTAGCTCATTTTACAAACAAAGCAGTTTTCAAAGTGCTGCACAGAAATCGTAAAAATGAAGACAACAAAAGGTATTATTGCTAAAAATGTGGTCATCCCAGTCCTTAAACCAGTAAAAATCTAATAAAAGCAAAAGTATAAAATCATAAAATAGCAATAAATAAGACACAGAGGACCACACAACTCATAATCGTATACTGGTTGCAAATGGGCAAGAGAGAAATTAGGGCTGGTTTTCCAATATTAGAATGTGAATGCAAATTGTTATATTGTTGTTACCTCATCAAAAACAACATAAGTCTGTTTTTTCATTCACACATGTTTGAGTAACAGTTACAAACCAGTGTTAGGAACAAAGGAAAGTAACACGAACAAGATGTGATGTAAAGTAAGTGGCTTTTATAAAGTAAAAGTAAGTAAGTACAATAACACAAAAAATATATAAAATATATAAAATTAGTAAATCAGAATTCTCAGTACAACTAAACAGTATTCTAAATGAACAGGGCTAAATAAAAATAAATAAATAAAAAAAATAATACAAATGCCCAAGGGCTGAGCCAACTGGCAGTTACAAAAGCGATTGGTCAATAACGACCTCTAGTGTCTCAAATACTCAATTCACACTTAGAAAACAGCGACAACAAGAGACACGGCAAACTCAAACTGAAATCCAGCCGCGAGGTGAGACAGGCACACAGCACTTTTATTGGAGGTTGGCGGATCAGGAAGGAGATTGGGAGCCTGATTCATTAGCCGGTTTCACTTTGTACAAACCGTCTGACCTCACAGTGTTAGAATTTGTTCGCTCGACGGGAGGCGGGTACTTTTTCATTTAACCAATCACTGCTATTTGGCCAGGACATATGTAATGCGCCGCTAACAGGACTAACTGGTATATTAAGCTTTTCCCAAATCCCGTAGGAAGAAGGGTAATAAAGTCTTTCCCCTTGATAAAATTCAGCAAATATTCTCTTTGTTCTGGCTTTAAATCTTCGATCTCGGGAATCATTGACAACACAAAATGTATGGCTCTTTACTGATTGGCTGGTGCCCCAGCTTGCACTTCCGGGGTTTTGCGAACCGTCTATTGTATTTTGATTCCTGACCTAGTCGCTGGAGAGAAATGAAATTGAGTGGAGGCACTAGGTGGCCCCAGCCTGACTAGGGGATTGGAGGAGCGGGACGTCAATTTTCTAACAACTGCATGACGAACATGGAAGCCAGCCCAACAGTGACAGGACCACACTCCACCAATCAGGTGTCAGGTACCACACAGCACATGCAAATACAGAAGACACAAGCGATGAAACAAACAGGGAGCACCAGGTGAGGCGGAGCCAGGCCACTAGCTGTAAGAGTAACCGTTTATTATTAGCCTGTCTACATCTCCAAATCTCAAAATGCCTGTATTTCAAAAATACACGCATTCTGACTGTGAGCGGGGTCGCCTTTCCACAGATCTGACCTGTAATGTGGTCTGGTCTCCATGAAGATAGAAATGTTTAATACCATATTGTGAAACGTTCCAGACAAAGCAATAACATCTCCATGGAGAAAAACATTTGATGGACCCGCCACCAGAAAAGTTACACAATGCATCTTTACATAGGAAAAAAAGTTGAGAAGAAAAGTACAAAATGCGGGATGTAGCATGAAGTTCTAAAACAGAGTAGCAAAGTATAAATGGGGCCCGTTTACACGAGAACACTTGTGCGTAAAAACAAAAAAATATTTTATCTGAAGTACCTTTCTTTTAGACGGTTTTTGGGGCTTAAAAATGCAAAAATCTGAAACCACACTCAAGAGTGGAAAAGTTGAATACACTTAGCTGTAGCGTTTCCGTCTAAACTGCCCAAGACGCAAAACTGTGGTTAGATCCGCTCATGTTGTGTATGTGTTATGTCACATACATCACCATGTAGCGTCACCACCGAACCGTCTGGCATGCATACCCAATCAAATTTCACACAATTTTGTCTCACTGTATGCATGTAGATTTCCTCCTGATCCTCATCTAAACAAGAATAAAAAGTGAAGACGCGACGCCACTTTTGCGTCTTCTGTTCAGACCCTCATCTTAAAAACGTAGCCATAGTCTAACCCGTCATATGCATCGTAACGCCCACAAGAACAGTACACTACTTTATCTGTCCTTATCAAAATGTCCACTCTCTCTTTTCTTTGTCTCTTATAGGACCTGCTGAACTTGTCCCACTTTGGCAGCTTTGTGTTTTACCCTTACCCCGGCCTGTGCGCACCTCCCGCTCACTACCTCCTCCCTCCTCCCAGAGCCACGCCGGATTTAAAGTGCGATCCCGGCGTCCACGGCTGGGACTACTGCTCGTCTCTCCGGCCCGCGTCCCCTTCAGGGTCCTCCGTAACGTCCGCCACCTGCGATACAGCTGATGGTGCCTTCAAATACCTGTCAACAGATGTGGTAATGCCCCATGTCTGTAAAACACAAGCGAAGGAGACAGAAGAGAAAGATACAGAGATGGACTGTGGACAGAAGAATGTTCAAGATGGTTAAATACAAGGGAATTGTAATTGATGAATCTGAAAGTGCACATGGCAGGTTTGACTACTACTACTATTTCACTAAACCATAATTATGCTTTACAAAAAAATCTTGAAGGTGCATTGTGTAACTTTTCTCGTGGAAGGTCCATCAGATCTTGTAGCTTTGTCTGGAATGTTTCACAGTAGCATTAAACCTTTCTATCTTCATGGTGACCAAACCAGACCAAGTTACAGGTCAGATCTGTGGACAGGCAACCCCGCTCACAGTCAGAATACCTGTTTTTCTAGGTGTTTTTAAGCTATAAAACCACCTGTACCGTATTTTTTGGACTAAAAGTCGCTCCGGACTCACACAAGCCAAAAAATGTGTAATGAAAAAGAAAACATATATAAGTCGCACTGGACTAAAAGTCACATTTTTTGAGGGAAATGTATTTTATAAAGTCAGAGATCAGGAACCAAGATTTCATCGTGAAAGTCAAGTTCAAGTTCAATAGAACAGAGAACAACAGACTGTTAACGTCACATATGAACAGTTCTTCAGATAATTATAGCATAAATAACAGAACAGAACAAGTTTATCAAACTCTCCATCTCACTTCAAATCACTAAATCCATTCAATTCTTCATCCTCGGTGACACTTCTGAGCAACTTCGTGACCTCCGGAGGTAAACAGAGAACTGCTTCCTCTTCTGCATAGTTGTCGTCAGATTCAGCATCAGTTCCAGTTACAATTATTCCAGCCTTTCTGAATCCCAACAGAATGGTTTCAGTGTCCCTGAAGTTCAGGCTTTGTTGATTCATCCATTGACTTCCAGGAAAGTTACGTGGCGCACCCTCCCGGTTGTCGTGAAGTTGTGTTCTCCATCCCCGCTTTCTGCCAGTCGCTCACAAGTTTCTTGCTCACTCCAAACTTTCTTTCTGCTGCTTGATTACCGTTTTCAGTTGAATATTTCACTACTTGCAGCAAGGCAGCGGCTATTTTTGCAGGAGACCTGCACAGTACGTAGAGCCAAGTGACAGTGGTACAGGAGTAATAGCAGCAGCTGATACTGACACACAAGACTAGAGCCTCTCACGGTGGTGTGAAAATTTTAATATATAAGTCACACCAGAGTATAAGTCGCAGGAAACACCCAAACCATGAAAAAAAAGTGTGACTTATAGTTCCAAAAATACGGTCATTGAATAAATGTAAAGTAGAGCTGTTTAATGTCACACTGTGGAGCATTCCAGGCAGAGCAATGACACATTCACAGAAACAAGCAGGTGATGGATCCTGAACCAAAAAGTTACACAGTACACCGATTTAACTATTTGTTATTTACATTTTTTAAAATTTGGTTTCTACTACACTATACTTCATGGTTGGGCAGAGACAGTAGCTATGACATGCACTGAGGATAATACTGTATTTGTTACCTAGCAACCATAACGTTAACAAGGATCATGTTTAGACTAATAAAAAATAAATATCAACAGCTTTATGTAGTTAGATGCATGCTATATCAGACAGGAAAATGGGTACTTTCTACTTAATTGTCCTTGAATTTTAGAGAAGATGATGACAGGGATTCTGTTTTAGAATTTACGGCTACTTTTTTTCCCGTACTATGTATTTTTGTGCTTTTCTTCTAAACTTTTCTGTCACAGACTAACAAATGTGAAACTATGTTAAATATTTACCACAGGTTCTATTCCAAACTAAGTAATAATTTGAAAAACATGAAAACCTGCCATATGCACTTTAAACTGTACCTGCATGAGATGTGTTAAAACTTCTTCAACTTGACAGCACTTTTGAAGGAAAAATAAATAAAATTAACCCACATTACATCACTGTATGACAAATAAATTAATAAATAAATAGAAAACTGGTTACCGAATACATTTAAAATGCCCAATGTTCTGGTTTTGTAAATACAAAATAAAATGTGAAATTGTACATATAATTGTGTGTTTAAGTAATTTAAGTGTAGAAAGTGGCTTTAGTCTTGCCAATGAAATACTAAAGCAGTTTACAATATTTATGTATATTTACACATTTATTATTAAGTCACATTTATTATTAACAAATTATTTAATATGTAATCTAATCATATTTTTGGATAAAGCCCTTTTACATTTTCTGACAAAATTTTTGCTGCCATTTATTGAATGAATAGATGAATAAAATAAATACATTTCCTTTGACTTGAAAAAATAAATCCTAGCAACATAACAAAAACAAGAGAGAAGGTAAAACGAAAAGTAAAGGAGTGAAGTCACTTGGGCAAATAAAGCAGCACGATGTGTTAAAATAATATTATATACACAATATGATATGCTAAGTATATTTCTATTTGAAAAAAAAAAAAAAACATTCTAGAAAAATACTGCCCTATGTTTGGTCAAAAATGAGTTCATGTCATTTTGTTAGTATTTGAGATCTCCTTTATCATGTGAATAAATATCGTGAAAAATATTGAGCTCAAATTTGACCTTTGACCCTTGTTTGTCAGTTCCTGTTCTCTGCCTTTGAATCATAAGCCAAAAATAAGTTTTCGCGCAGAGGCAAAAGGCAGAATATATCAATATAAATATATTTTATTTTAAAATCTAACTGCTCATTTCCTCCTTTTTGTTGGGGCCTTGACACAGGGTCTTAACACATTGAATAAATATACCTTTGTATTCAATTATACTTAAATGATCTTTAAGGTGGAAGTATTTTGTATATTTATTCACACTGTACACACTAAACTGCAAAGTCACTAGTGTGTCAAACTGTTTAACTGTGTAAATGTCTGATCAGCACTAAACAGGAAATGCGAAGCTCTTCTGTATCACTTTAAACAAACTCTATGATGACGCGACCTCGGTGAGGTTCTTCTAATGAATGGAAGTCTGGAGAAAATCAAGTAAATAATGATCATGTCTATTTCTGCCTTTTGCCTTTGCACAACTACTTATTTTTGGCTCATGGTACAAAAGTAGAGCACAGGAACTGACAAATAAGGGTCAAAGGTAAATTTTGAGCTCAATATTTTTCACATTCTAATATTTCTTCATTATAGCAAGCAGTTGTTAAATTTTGGGAGCCCTACCTATTGTACTTTTGTCTGGATAAAACAGAAACTTTGAAGTCATTTTTCTCAGTTTCACACTCTGGAGAGTTCAACTCTTTTGCCACTAGAGGGCAGTAAAAGCAAAGCGGTATCATTGACGCATACTGATCGCGTCATAAAATCGAGACGCCTACCACCAAAACAAACCCTTTTCGCTTTCAGCCATGATCGGCTCTTTATCCACCCGAACTGCTTTGATTTGAGGCTGAAAATGATTTCTCTCAACTACATCCTTCTGGGGGGGCAGTTCCTTCTGCTCCTGACCGTCATTTTGTTACAATGTTTAGCGGGAATTCACTCCCAAAACTCCAGCAGCCCCACAGCGGAGAGCCAGACCTCCACCTCCACAGCGGGGCACACGGCCACGATGCTCCCGTTCACCGAGCAGCCCTCCGAGGTGATCCAATACGAGATCCCCACGGAGAACACGACCCAGGCGGAGTACGAGTACAAGCCCCCGTCCCCCGTGGTCCTGTGCAGCTATCTGTGAGTGACACCCACACGGCTCCGGGCTGACGCAGCCTCGTAGCTTAGCATTAGCTCTGCAACTGACTTTTCACTGTGAAGAAAAAGAAATCTGAATTGTTCACTGACAGATCTGCCGTGTTATTACTTTTATTATGTGAAGAAAATAGCCTAATTACATTATAAGCCTTAGTTTCACCTTTTGATTGTTGTAAGTTACATAATTAATGACAAACGTGCTGTTATTATGATTTCTTATTGGGATTAGGGCTGGATAATAGAAGAAAAATATAAAAAATTGAAATATTCATATATCTTATAATTTAATGAGATGATGCAGTATCGATATCGCGGACTAAAGAGTATTTTTTGGTATATTTTATTAAATCATTTTGTTATAGCTACAGTTTTGTTGCTTGTTTAGAGGAAGGAAACTTGTTTATGCTGCACTTTTGACATTGTTACTGTTTTGATGAGTTAAATGGGTGTGTTTTATATTGACTTTGCACAAGAAGCGGTTTAACAAGCTGAGTATCACAGCCATGAATTTGACATTATTTTTAATGAACCAATTTGAAATATATCATATCAGGGTATCATTAAGAAGTTGCAGATTCGATACTTACCTTGATATGTAGGCCACAATGCATACATATCTCGATACAGTGCATTTTCGATTCAATACGATATATTTCAAATCGATTCGATATGGTTCAATGAAAACTAATGGCTAAAACATGACTGTGATACTGAAAGTCTTTGTTAAACCACTTCTTGGGCAAAGTTCATATGAAACACAAACATTTAATCATCAAAACAGTGAAAATGTCAGATGTGTTCATCTGTCCCAGCAGATTTATCCAAAACCATTGCTCTGTCCCAGTTTTATACAAGAAATGTCCCAGGTGTCCCTATTTTTAACCAGGTTGATCCCTGCCAACAGTAAAAAGAGGCATACATTGTCACTTGTTTAGGTAAAATACAGAAAAGCTGCTTAAAAATGACCAGAACACAAAGCAAATATTACTATACTGATTCACGTTTCATGAATGGGCAGAACAATTTTCACAATTTTATTATTACCAACCACCACAAAACGGGGGTGTCCCAGTTTTTGATTTTTGAAAGTCTTGTCACCCTAATTTAATTTGATGTCCGTGTAAACATCAAAGTATCCATATCCATTGAGTCATATGTCATTTTATATTTGTGATCATGCATGTAGTATGACAGTGTTCTCATAAGTTGTCATTTCTGCAGGACATGTATGTATGTGCACTGAATCTTGATTTAAAGCATAATTGCACATCTTATTGTAACATGTAGTTTAGTTTAGTTTTTTATTTGAATGGGAGTGCTAGTCCCATATGACCATTATATTGCTGTCCATATGGAAATTATGTGTTTTTTCTAGTAAATGGTCAAACCTCAGTGTTTCCCATTAATAGCATAGACTGTGTTGAGACCCCATAGTCTAACTTTGACTAGTAAGCAAAAAAATGTAAAACAAATTATACTTTATGCTTGTAGTGTTATCATAAATATATAGAAGTAACCATTTTTTATTTCTAATCAGCTGTTTTGTTTAGTACGGGCCATAAGTGATATTTATACACCAACATATTGTATTGTAAAATGATTCAAGGATTGCTTACGCCACCGTAGTCTTAGTATAAGCATGTGGGAAACACTGACCCCCCCCCATCTAACCTAAATGAGAGCACTGTGTTTTGAAATGCTCCCTGTGTGCTCAGAATATAACATACAGTTTTCCTTTTTTCTTACAATAGACCTGAGGAGTTCATCTTCTGTCAGGACCCAGTGGACCACGCAGGGAACTACACTGCTCTAGAGGAACTGGGCCATGGATGCATCGGGGTAACTTTGTACTCTATATCCACTCAGAGAACCCTTTTAAATGACACTTTGAACTATGCAGTCAGCTTTGTTTGGTTGGTTGGTTTTGTATTTATTTTTTCACTTATATATACAGTAAGTCCTAAGTGAAACTGTAAACACACACTTGATGTTCATACGCTGCTTTTCTGAACTGAACCACACTCCATACATCTGCAAAATAGCAAGTCAATAAATACCTGAGTCCTCAATACTTAGAAGGTCTATATTATACAAAATTGTTTGTTGTGAGCCTTAAGCCATATTATAATGTTGTTACTAGGGATGGGCATGATTAGTCGATTAATCGATAATTGATCATTAAGAATTTCATCGATTACATTCATTTTAATCGACAAACCAAATGTAGGTTGCTGTGCGTAGCGTGACCAAACAGGGGTCCGTACATGTGTCTCTCTGCACTCAGAAGGAGACATAAACAGTCGGTCAGCCTGCAACGTACTGAAGTGCAAATGCGAACGATGTGCAACGATGATTTGTACAAGAAATTCCACGCTTTCCGTTCGGGACAAGTGGGAGTCCATGTGCACAGTGGACAAAGCAGCACATATGTTTCGGTGTCCAGTGGGAAAAAGCTTTATCAGGTGAGAGTCGCGCAATGTCAATGACGAGTCCCCACCTCCCTCCTCCCATACGGTGTCCTGGTTTTGACAAACACAAATCTGGTCACACTAACCTGTATTCCACTGAGTCATGTCTTTTAATCCGACAGAAGTTGAACCGCATCAGCGACACGAGCTGTATTTTTTTCTTCGCTTAGTTTATGCAAATTAGCGATGCGGTTTTAAGTTTTGTTTCTGTGAGAGTTGCACAAAACTGAATTAAACACATTATAATGTCACACAGATTGATGTGGCTCTAGAGTCGTTACGGTTTATATGTCGTAAAGTTGAATCTATTTATGCAGATTAGTAGTGCAGATAGTAATAATAGTGATGATCATTTTAATCTAAAAATGTTAATGATTAATCGATAATCGATTGATTAAGAAAATTTCATTGAATGCCCAT